TTCCTCAGGGCATCGGGTTGTGAACTCCCCTCTTTTTAGAAAAAGGATGAATGATGAGCTCCACAGCCAACTTGTTATTTCCCGCCTGGTGGTGTGAATTCCAGAAGGAGGCAGGAACTCAGGGTTTGTGAGGGTCCAGGACAGAGTTTTCTTTGGTGGGAAACTGAGAGTGTCTGGAGATGCTGAGCAGGTGAGGATGGATGTGCCAGATGCTCTTTGGGCAGGCGTGCCTTGCTCTGTGTGTAGAATGGAGTCATTGTCAAAAACTACTCATGTCGGCCTCCCCCATGATGTGCAGGCCTGTGGGACGGGAGCCGGCTGAGACCCAGACTCGGCACCAGGCATCACCGCGCCACCCGTGAGTGACCGCGGTCCTTTGTTGTTGGCTGTCACTTGGAAGGCACATCATTGTTTCAGGTGCCCTTGTTAATTAAACTCACTGTTACAGGGGAGGAGACTGAGGCCAGGGGCTGTAGGTAGCTGGCCCAAGGTCACATAGCTGTGGACGGGCAAGGCTGGGATCTGAGCCCCAAACCTTTGGTTTCGCCGCCTCTCACAAACCAAGGCCTTCCACTTCCAAATGGGGTTTCTCACCCCCTTGGCCCAAAGGCCAACGTTTCAGAAGTGTCTGGGTGGCTTTAAAAAGACCCTGTTCTGGACCCCTCCCTGGAATTCTGACCCCACGGGTCCTGGGTCCTGGGGGCCACATCTCCATATGCTTTAATCCCTCCCAAGCACGTCTGTCCCGTGTGAGAAATGCTGTCCCTTGGCTTGGGCAGAGGGCTGCTGACCAGTGAGGAGGACCTGGCTAACTTAAACTCTGGGATCGGTGAGGGGTGGGGGAAGAGGGGCTGCTGGAGGGACCCTGGAAGGGAAGCAGGATTCCAGGCCTGGGAGATGCAGAGCACCTGCAGGAATGCAGGAGGGGAGGCCTGGGCCCAGGGGTTGGGCTGGGCAGTCACTGGGGCTGGACGGGGTCCCCTGACCGTGTCCCCTGGTGGGGTCTGACTTCCAGATGCCCAGCTGCTCATGGGCTCCTGTGCCAGTCTCCCTGCCCATGGGGCTCATGGCCACTGCTCCTCGAGTAGCCCCCGGGCCCTGCTTACCGTGATTCATGAGACATCTGTGGTGGGCAGGAGGGGGGTCTGCCTCCCAGATGCAAGACGACTGGTGCGCATGTTGGTGTCTTGGCCTTTTCTCAAAATAGGCAATGGGCTGTGCTGGGAGTTAAAAATATTCAAACCGTGAGGGACCCGCCGAGAGAACTAAGAGAGAGCCTGGATGAGCGGTGTGTGTGTGAGTGCGTGTGCGAGTGTGCATGTGAGTGTGTGTCTGTGCCGGTGTGTACGTATGTCTGAGCGCGTGAGTGTGTCTCCGTGTGTCTCAGTGCGTGTGTCTCCGCGTGTGAGAACGTTTCAGTGTGTTGGTGTGCGTCTCCGTGTGTGTGGGGGGGAGTGTGCGTGTGAGTGTGTCTCCGTGTGTCTCAGTGCGTGTGTCTCCGTGTGTGAGAACGTTTCAGTGTGTTGGTGTGCGTCTCCGTGTGTGTGGGGGGGAGTGTGCGTGTGAGTGTGTCTCCGTGTGTCTCAGTGCATGTGTCTCCGCGTGTGAGAACGTTTCAGTGTGTTGGTGTGCGTCTCCGTGTGTGGGGGGGGAGTGTGCGTGAGTGTGTCTCCGTGTGTCTCAATGCGTGTGTCTCTGCGTGTGAGAACGTTTCAGTGTGTTGGTGTGCGTCTCCGTGTGTGTGTGGGGAGTGTGCGTGTGTCTCCGTGTGTCTCCGTGTGTGTCAGTCCGCGTTCTTCTCCCGAACAGACTGAAGAGCAGTGGTGCCTCCCTCTCTAGGCTGTGGTGCATGTTACCTGTAGGCCCCGCCCACAGCAGGTGCTCAGGTGACAGTGGCCCTCCCACCGCCCAGCTCACGTCCCGCGCGGTGGTGACGCTTCCCCCCTTCCTGGCACATCATCAGCCGTGCGCCCCTAACCCAGCTCTGGCCCCTCTGATGGGCAGTCACCCTTCAAGGAGCCTCAGCCTCCCCGTCTGTGAAATGGGAGCGGCGTCCTCACACCACAGAGTTGTCTGAGTGGTCGAGTGAGGTAGCCGGCCCGTGAGAGCATGGGGCAGCCAGACTTGTCACTCAGGTACAGAGCCTGGCAGCCTGCTTTCCAGCTGAGCGCCTGTCCCTCCCGATTCCTCCCTGGTCTCCTCTGGCCCCCCGTAGATTGCCGCGTGGGGTTTCCTCTGCAAGGATCAGTGTTGCGGGCACACGCACCAGGCATGCCTCCATGCGCCCATCTGCAGGGGGCAGGCGCCTACCTCGGGCCATTCATAAGCCCCCAGATCCCAGTGTTAATAGAAGATGAGTCAGGTGTACCGGATCACTCGCGATTCCTCCATTCCCCCCCGGAGACATGGGGCTTCTGCTTTCCAAATACCACTTTGGAGCTGGGATGTAGCCCAGGAAGTGGAATAGAGTGTCGAGAAGCTCCCGCAGGGAGGCAGCGTAGGGCTGTCCTGGGGGCCGCTGGGGGTCGGCTCACTGCCGTGTGCGTCCTGTGGGTCAGGGCGCTCGCAGAAGTGCGAGAGGTCTCCTATGGCTGTTGGAAGAATTCAGCACCAAACAGCCCGGTACCAGGTGCACGGCTCACCCTTCCCTCCGTACGGTCACTCGCCTCTGCTCTGATTTCTGCACCCACTTCTTTACCTGACACTCTAGCGGGACAGGCCGTCCCCCCCGTTAACTGGGTGCTTTCACGGGATGGGCTCATGGCCGGGCAAGGCTGGGAGTTCTGGCTGGGACTTGCTCTGGGCGGGAACAGGACCCCTCGGGGCTGTTGTCTGTTCCACACCGCGGTCTCTGCGTGGCCCTGCAGACATGTGTGGGAGAGCACACACCTGAGCCAGGAGCCCCTGGGGAGCTCTGCTCTCAGGAGGGACGGAGAACCCATTGCCAGGAGCCACCGAAATCTAACCCGGAGAAAAGACGCCGTTCCCCTAGGAAACGGGCTGAGCCGACCTCAGAATCAGCAGGTGGCCCGTCGGAGCACCTTTCCAAGCGGGCGTGACCAGGGAGGCCACGGTGCCGTGGGCTTCCACATTTCCTGGGAAATCTCAGACCTGATCCACGTGTATCAACAGGCTCTACTCATTCTTGTGACATTTTGTGGAACTTTTGGTTTGGTGTGTTTAACTTTTCCATCAGGACGGGTTAACGTGGCTTTTCCTTCCATTTCGAAGAAGGCTCATTATTATTACTGTGTGCGGATTACAAATAGCACACGTCGGAATTTTAGAAAGGATGGGAAATTGTAAGGAGCACATAACATTCCCCATAACACATAAGAACACAGGGTGAATGGGAAGGGGTACTGGGAACGTTCTGGATCTTTCCAAGGGTTTTGGTTACTGCACAGGCATGCACATTTATCAAAGCTTCAGCAAATGCACACTGAAGATTTGTGCATGAGGATCTGATGTTCAAAGGAAAGCCATAAGCAATTATTGACCAAGGTTAATGATAAGCATGATGAAATGTTCAGATGTCTGCAATTTGCTTCAAAGTATGTTAAAAAAAGTAAGATGGCTTGATGAAGGATGGATAGATAGGTATGTGAGGAACCAAATATAGTAAAATGTTAGTGGTACAATCCAGATGGCGGGTATACGGGTATTTGCTATGAAATTCTTTCAACTTTGCTGTATGTTTGAAAATTTGCATCATAAAATACCGAGGAACAAAGATTACTATTCAGGAAAAAATCCGTATTTACCATCCAAACATAACCACCAATAATATTTTAGTGTACATTATTTTCTTTAATTTTCATTTCCAAGAATGTAAACTTTCTGTAATTCAGAACTTCTTGCTTAAAACATTTATTTTCAAGGCACCTGGGTGGCTCAGTCATTAAACGTCTGCCTTCAGCTCGGGTCATGATCCCGGGGTCCTGGGATCGAGCCCCGCATTGGGCTCCCTGCTTGGCGGGAAGCCCGCTTCTCCCTCTCCTCCCTGCTTGTGCTCTCTCACTGTCTCTCTATCAAATAAATAAATAAAATCTTAAAAAAAACCATTTATTTTCATTTTTCTCACTCAGAATTGTAGCATAGTTTGTGTGTGTCTGTGTGTCCTAAAGTCTTCAATGTGTCATTTTTAAATGAAGGTATAATTTACATGCGGGAAAACTCACACACGTGAGCACATGGTTCCATGAGTCTTGAGAGACGCTTGCAGGCAGGGAAGCCCCCCTCCGCAGGCTCACACCCAGCCACCGAGGCCACAGGTATGTTTTCCAGAAGGTCATCGAAGTGGCATCCCAGCGCACACAGCCCGTGACTCTGGCTTCCTTCTTTCAAGCACAGTGCCTGTGGGCTCCGTCCACGTCCTTGTTTGTACACTAGTTTGTTCCTTTTTTTTTTTTTAAGAGATTTATTTATTTGAGAGAGAGAGTGGGGATGGGGCAGGGGCAGAGGGAGAGGGAAAAAATCTCCAGCAGACTCCCCGGTGAGCACAGAGCCCGACGTGGGGCTCAATCTCACGACCCTGGATCGGGACCTGAGCCGAAACCAAGAGTCGGACGCTCCACAGACTGAGCCCCTCAGAGGCCCCAGTTTGTTCCTTTTTATTGATGGGTCATATTCCTTCGTAAGGACGTGCATTGCTATCGTTTTAATGCTTGTGGGAAGTCGTTGCATAATCATTGCATGTTTTATTTATGCATCCCTTGGTTATCTGGATATTTAAGATGTTTTATTTTTTCACTCTTACAAACGCCATCACAGCAAACATCTTTATACATAAATCACTGTCATCAATTCCTGGGAAGGGAATTACGAAGTCGTAAGCTGACAACACATTTTTCAATTAAGAAGGTTCTCCTTGCATGTCTTTATGTGGTTCGTAACAAGCTTGGCTCACAACCCCACCAGTGTTTATGACCTCCCTCCACTTTTTGATGTCGTCACTATAGGACGGACTGGAAGACTACGCGAGCCTCTGACGTCCGAAGTCATGGAGACTAACCAGGACACTTCCCTCTTCTTGATGAAGATCTTGGAGGAGCTGGACAGCAAGCAAAGCACCGTCTCTTACCAGGATCTGTGCAAGTCCCTGTGCGCCCGCTTTGACCTGTCGCAGCTCGCCAAGCTGAGAAGCGTGCTCTTCTACACGGCTTGTCTCGACCCCAACTTCCCAGCCACGCTATTCAAAGACAAGATGAAATGCGCCATGAACAACCAGCAGTCCAAGAAGATCATGGTGGCCGCAGACATCGTGACGATATTCAACCTGATCCAAACGAATGGGGGCGCCGCCAAGGAGAAGCTGCCCACCGGCCGGCAGAAGGTGCACAAGAAGGAGGCATCCTTCGAGTCGTGCAGGTCGGACACGGAGGTGTGCACTCCTGCCGCGTGCGAGCCGCTGAACTGTGAGCTGAGCGAGAGGCCCTTCCACCGGGGCTACCCCGCCCGGCAGTCGTCCCAGGGCCGGAAGGCAGACCGCAAGGACTGCCCACAGTTCGTGCCCGCCTCTGAGCCCAACTTCCTGCTGGGGGTCAGCAAAGAGCTGAAGAACCGTGCCGCCTCCCTGGACCGGCTGCAGGCCCTGGCCCCCTACTCCGTCACCAGCCCCCAGCCCTGTGAGATGCAGAGAACCTACTTCCCCATGAACATCGAGAATGAGTCCATTTCAGATCAGGACTCCCTGCCCATCAGCCAGGGCATCAAGGAGACCTTCATTTCCAATGAGGAGCCGTTTGTGGTCCAGTCCTGTGTCCAGAAAAGGAACATCTTTAAAGAAGATTTCCACAATCTGATGACCGTGTCCCCCAAGTTGGTTGGCCCCGCTAACAAGGCAGAGGCTGAGCATGGGGAGCCCCAGGGCCAGAAGGAGCCCCACAAGACCCCCTTCTTCAATCACAGCTTCAAAATGCCCTACCTCAGCCAGTACCTGAATCCCGTGTACTCCCCTGTGCCTGACAAAAGACGGGCGAAACACGAGAGCTTAGATGACCTTCAAGCCTCCACGTATTTTGGTCCCACGCCAGTGATGGGGACGCAGGATGCCAGGCGCTGTCCGGGGAGGCCAGGGAAGCAGACCCCTTGGCCGGCCAAAAGTTGGAGCCTGAACACCGAAGAAGTCCCTGACTTTGAACGGTCCTTCTTTAATAGAAATCCCTCTGAGGAGAAGCTGCTCTACCCAAATCCCAGCGGCCAGAGCCCCAGTTTCCCAACCCCAGACAGGCGCCCCACTTACCTGGCGCCAAAGGACCAACAGCCGATCCTTCCCGTTGGCTACACGGCAAAACCAAACGGGCTCAAGTCTAAAGAGATCTCGTCCCCTGTTGACCTGGAGAAGCACGAGCCCGTCAAAAAGTTCAAAGACAAGAGCATCAGCTGCGCCGGTGGGCAGCTCAGCTCGGACACCAGCAGCGTGGGCACCCAGACGGAGCAGCACGGGCTAGAGCCCAAGAAGCGCAAAGATTTGTGCGCCGTGGGGCAGACCAAGTACAGTGACCGGCACACCACGAAGCAGTCAGATGACGACTCGGAAGTCATCAGCGATGACATCAGTGACATCTTCCGGTTCCTTGATGACATGAGTATCAGTGGCTCCACGGGGGTGATGCAGTCCTCCTGCTACAACAGCATGGGGTCCTTGTCTCAGGCTCACAAGTCCGACGGCGACAGTTCCCCCGAGCACAGCCTGACCAAAATCGCCAACGGGTTCCCCGGCAGCCAAGGAGAAAAGGGCAACCGGCCTGAAAACAGCCACCACTCGGAAGAGGAGCTGAAGACCAGCGTGTGCAGACTGGTGCTCCGGATCGGCGAAATTGAACGGAAGCTCGAATCGCTGTCAGGGGTCCGCGAGGAAATCTCCCAGGTCCTGGGCAAGCTAAATAAGTTGGACCAGAAAATGCAGCAGCCTGAGAAGGTGAGCGTGCAGATTGACCTGAATTCCTTGACCAGCGAGGCTCCGTCTGATGAGAGCGCCTCCCCGAGGATGTTCCACCCGCACGATGGCCCCCGGGGGCCCAAGCTGGAGAACGCGGCCGACTGGTACTGCTCAGACGCCAGTGAAAGCCACAGCGAGAGCCTTCGAGTCAAGGCCTTGAAGAAGAACCTCTTCACCAGGCCGTCCTCCAGGTCCCTGACGGAGGAGAACAGCGCCACGGAGTCCAAGATCGCCAGCGCCTCTAACTCGCCCAGAGACTGGTGCACCATCACCTTCACCAGCCGTGCGGGCCTCGGGGAGGAGGAGAGCAAGGACAGAGGCCCCGGGGAGAGTAACGACTGGCACCGCCGGTCGAAAGAGGTAATTTCCCCCACGCCCACGAAGCTGGGCCCTCGCGCTCTTGCAGCCCTGGTGCGTGTCCCGGCCCCGCGCGTCACAGGAGTCAGGAAGGAGGAGGCCTTCCCTCCGTGTGCCGGCTCTCCTGCAGATTTGGCGGGCTTTCCGTGTTAGCACGGGGGGACGGCCCAGACGGATCGTCTGTCCCGCTGGCTCTGAGGGGTGCGTGCTGCCAGGCTGCCCGCGGGAGGAAGCGGGGTTTGGATACGGGATGGGTGGCAGGGGCCAGATTCTCGTAGAATGGGGAGCGTGGGGGAGAGGCGGGTGTTGCCAAGGATGACGCGGGCCGAGGGGCGCAGGCCGAGGGAACGGGGATGCCTTCCATGCGTGCGGGCTCAGGTGTCCCTTCCCTGTGCTCCGTGGATTCACAGTGCTCCTCTTTAAAAGTTCGAGTCTTTCCATGGTGAGATCGGTAGAGGATTAGTAGGAAAAGCCACACAAGTAAGGAAAATGTTCCCCAAGCCGCCCCTGAGGACAGCAGGTCCCGATAGAGCCCTTTCCTTTGCTTTGGCGCTGTTTTGCATCAGGGTTGTGTGTTTGGCCCCGGCTTGAGTGCGTTTGCGTCTTGAGAGCTGGCCTCTCCCCGTCAGGTCCGAGTGAGTGCACACATGGGTGCTCACGTCCCCTGCAGTGGGGTGACTCATGTCGGTGGCCCCCAGGGCTGCTCTTCGTCATTCTCCCCGGGGCTCCAGTGACACGGTTACTATGTGCTGCTTTCTCAGTTCCATTCCTTGATTCTGAAGGTCAGGGGACAGACCGGAGGGCCCGGGGTCAGAGGGAGGGACGGCGGTGTGCGTGCAGAAACGCAGAGCCACGCGGGGAGGCCGGCTTCCTCAGACGGTGCCAAGAAGGAGGAGCTTGGAAGATGGGCCTCTCAGCAGGTTTTCAGTGTCCAAAGTGGGGGAAAAGAGTAAATGAAAGAAGTGATTTTTTTTCTGATCCCAAAGAATCATCTGCTGTCTCTGTTGGTGGCTGTTCTGTCCTTCTGCAGCTGTGGACGGCACGTGGGGATGGAGAGGCCGGTGGACATGTGCTGGCCCAGTCCCCATGCAGGTGCACACTCAATGCTCACACTCGCACACAGTGTGGCCCAGTTCCCATGCAGGTGCATGCTCACGCTCACACACGGCGTGGCCCAGTCCCCATGCAGGTGCACGCTCATGCTCACACTCGGCGTGGCCCAGTCCCCGTGCAGGTGCACACTCATGCTCATGCTCACGCATGGTGTGGCCCAGTCCCCATGCAGGTGCACGCTGATGCTCACACTCAGCATGGCCCAGTCCCCGTGCAGGTTCACGCTCATGCTCACGCTCACACACGGCGTGGCCCAGTCCCCGTGCA